AGCGTTTCCTGAGCTGGATGATCCTAGGATTTGTAAAACAGGAAAAAAAGGAAGGCGCGAGGGCGGGCGAGAGAGACAGGATGCTTGTTTTGCGCTCTCCCATCGCTGTCTGAAGGCCAGGCAGCGGGCGCCGGGAAGAGGACCCACGGCGGCCGCCGGGCTGTCCCTCGCCCTCGCTGCCGCCTGGCTCCCGCGCGCTCGCCCTCCAGGGCAGCCCCAAAGGCGGAAGGGGAGCTCGCCCTGCCCCTGAAGCGGAGGAAAACACCCCAAGACTCCGCGGGAACCTGTGAAAGTCCCTGGGACTCCGAGTGAGGAAGCGACACTCCCCTGCGAGCCGGCCCGCCGCCGCCAGCTCTGCACGGCCTCCGGCACGGCGGCCCTGGAGGCGCGCGCCGTGGAGCTCAGGCTCGCCGCCCGCGCCGGGCTCAGCGGCCCGCGGGCTGGGTGCGCGCTGCCGGGCCCCGCTCTGCCGCCCGCGCCCGCCGCGCGTCTAACCCGGGAGACCACCCTCGGCGCGGGGCCAAGCACAGGGGAGGCGAGGCGGAGGGGCAACCTCGCTGGGACTAACTCATGAAGAACAAGGGTGCCAAGCAGAAGCTGAAACGAAAGGGAGCCGCCAGTGCCTTTGGCTGTGACCTGACCGAGTATCTGGAAAGCTCAGGACAGGATGGTAAAGTGCCTTTGCCTTTTGCTTTTCCTTCTTTTTGTTTGAGAGGCTGTGTTATATTCAGTCCATAAGTTAATGTATTCCAGGCCTGTACTCTCGCTGTGCTTTTTTTCCCCCCTCGGAACGTATGTGATTCTCAACGGCGCACAGCTCTGCCACCCCGACGTGCAGAGGTTGTGTCAGTCCTTCCGTTCGTCCACACGAGCCGTTAATGGGCGGGGCTGCTGCCAGTTTCACCGGCTACCTCTGGAGGGTGGGGGTGGGTGGGAGCTGCAGAGGTCCCGGTCGCAGACTTTGGGTTTCGGAGGGAGGGATGCGGGCTGGGCGCGTGGGGTGACGATCAGTGAGTGGGATTCCTGGGTACAGAACTGTGACCGCCTTAGGTGTCCCTCCGGGCTCTCCAATTTCGTCGGCTCACATCTTTTTTTATTAATGTGCTGGAAGGCAGGGGGTGCAGTGGATCCTGGCTGCGGGAGTGGTTGCACAAACATTTTCTGAATTTCTGAACTGATGCCAAATATATAATGCCTCCCTCCCTCCCTTTCCCAACCCCCCAGGACCCTTTACCGCCTCTTGGCTTTCGGATTAGCATTTGGCGTGTTAGACAAGAAGAGTGTTGTAAAAAGGTCAGAGGGCCTGGATTTTAAAATAGTTTAGGGTATGTGAAAGAAAAGGAGACCGCCTCTGTTTTCAAAGTCAGATGGGGGGTGGGAGGGTGAAGTGGAGAGAGTCCTGCAGAGGACAGACAATTTTAAACATTTGTTAGCGGAGAGGGAAAAAAAACAATCTAGAATATAATAACAGCATTTGAGGTCAGAAGTTTTTAATCATAGGAAAATTGGGGAAATTGAGCAATAAATGACTCCTTTTGTAAGGCTGACTGGCCCTGTACTTACCCGTGACAAAAAGGCCTTGTCTTCAGAAACTTAAGTGTTAGAGAAAATAGTCCCCTATATGGGCTGAGTGTTTATACATAGATAAATACTACAAACGGGGAAAATGGACGGCTGTTTAACTGTGCAGAATATCTCTGCCTGCAGAAAAATAAGCTCAAAAACGATTTGACTAGCTCATATCAAATATGCATCTCAAAAACAGTGCAATGCTTTTGTTCCAGTTCTGCTTTTTCAAAGACTCAGCACCACCTAGTAATTTGCAGTGGTATGATATTCCTGTGGCATTCTAGAGTTCAGAGTCTGCTGTGTCTTTAGGATGAATGGCTTAGTATTTTAGGGCCTGTGGGACTGCAGGTTACAAAAATGCCCCTTTGAAATTGAGGCATAACCGAATCAATTAATTTAATCCTCTCCAATAATCTGGAAAGGTAGCTTTGAAATAAAATCGCTTGGATTGAGGTGTTTTGTTTTGTTTCATTTTTCATGTGAAAGCACTCTAGGAATACATCTTACCCACTCCCCACAGAAGTTCAGAATGAAATGTTTCCCTCCACCTGTGTTGGCAGGAGACTTAGGTATGGCCAGGTTCACTAGGAATGCTCCTGGAATGCCACCTTCCACCATGGGGGGGTGCTATTCTGGGGCTGCCCTCCGAGCTGTGACAGTTACATGGGGCTGCTTGCCAGCCCTGTCCCGTTCTCACACAGATCATAGATCACAGGATGGGCCAGGAATCCCAGGATTCTGTGAGGACATCTCAGAGGCAGACTTAGGTAGTCCTTCTTTCCCTTGCTTTTTATTTTGGACTTCCATATATGTTTCATTAGGGGTAAAAAAAAGGAAGGGGGCTGCTGCTTACAAAAAAATTGAAAACCAGTATCCAGTGCACCCCATTCTGGGCAAGAGGTGAGGAAGCCCGGAGACATAAATGCCTGCCTGAGGTCATGCAGTGAGGCATGAAGGGTGCAGAGGGCCCTGGCCTACCAGGCTCCTCTCCCCTCCCAGGCTTCCTTGTCCAGGACAACATTCTCCTCTAGTGATTTTTTCTCCCTAAATTGAAAGCAGGCAGACAGCCCTGTCCCAGGATCAGTAGATATTAAAGACTGCCATACCTGAATAGACTGTAGCTTTACAATGAAGGGAACTGACCGACTTAGTGATCCATACCCACTTATTCTGCCTTGCAGGAATTAAACATGCATAATAAACAGCTTATATAAATAAGAATAATAAGGATTTGTTTTTCCCACATCCAAAACCAGTCAGGTAGTTGTCTCTTCTTTTCTTATAATGTAGTATCAATAGGCAAAATCAGTACTAATGGTTTTCTCTGAAACAATGTGCCCTCCTTATGGACTTTCTGAAACAAGTATTGATTAATAGACAAAGCCTAGACTGTGTTCCCCAGGAAGAAAATCTGATCTGGGTGCTTCCTCTTTGTCCACCACCCTGGACGTTCAGCCCAGAATCCTGAGTGACAAGTCAGTGTGGTAAATAGGAGCCAGAAGGCTGGGAGTGCCTGACAAAACTGACATCGTGCTTACTGAACTTTGGAGGTCAAGGGTGGTGTGATGGACCTGGGTAGGGACAGAGAAAAAGTGGATTCAGATCTGGGAGTACAGGACAGAAGGGAAGAACAGAGACAGAAAGAAGCTAAGGCAGCCCCCGTGCTGGGACAGGGAAGGAGAGCCCCAGCTGGGGTGGAGGGCAAAGCTGGTGACAGTTAGCTGTGCTCAGGCCACCCAGACATGGGGAAGCTGTACCCCCGAGGCTGAATGCAGAGGACGAGTGTTATCCACTTCTATAATTCGCTGTGGCCCAGCTCTGCTACCTTCAGTTGGACAAATCTGACAAGGCAGGGTGTGTGGGTGACAAATAGGTGCTCAGCTGAGAGTGGATGCTGCTCAGGGCCAGGTGTCATCCTTAATCTGTAGGAAGCTGATGAAAAACAGAAACCCTTTCCAGTAAAGCGTGTGCGCGCACGCGCGCGCGCGCACACACACACACACACACACACACACACACACACACACACATCATGTATACAGTTTCTGTGGGCATCCACATATATGCCAAGTTTAGACCCTCCTGCTGATCATCCCCAGTTGCACAGAGGCCTGATGTGAAGGGCTAGTTTCCCCCTTTTGCTTCTTGGGTCACTTTTCTCCAGTCTGTTAAAAACACCCCAGAATGGCATGAAGTTGCTCCTGGCCAACTTGGCCAGCACCTCTTTCAGTTCCCCTCCAGCACAGTGGCTGCTGCCCCAACCCCCAGTTCTACCCTGGGAACAAGATAACTTTCTCTTCCTGTCTGGAATAGAGGGAGAAGATTATTCCTTCCTTACTGCTAATGCAGAAGAAAGTACAGTTTTCTTTTCTTCTTTTTGACCACTAAATACAAAGGCCCTTGCTTGCGGCATGTAATGAACACCACACCATTTTGTTGCCTGTAGTTGGGAGGCTCTTGGTGAAGCCCAGCAAGGCCAGAGTGTATCCAGGAGCATTTCCTACCTCTCTCCTCTGAGCCAAGTGCTGCTGGTAACAGGATTCCAGAGACCAGTAAGAACATTACTAGAAAGGTAGCTTCGGCCTCAGGGCTTGTTCCTTAAAGGGCAGAGTACTTTTCACCCTTCTGAATACCCTTTGTCATTTTACTCACTCCTTGGTAAAAGTGATATTGTCTGACTCAGTGGTTCACCATTATAGTGGCACATTAGAATCCCTTGGGGAGCTTTAAAAAAAAAATTGAACAATTTTCAAACAATGAAATCAGAATCTCTTGGTGCCCAGGCATGGGTAAATAAGCTTCCTAGATGATTCTGATATGCAGGCAGAACTGAGAACCACTGCTTGCAGTGGAAGGGTTTACAGACCATTTACACCCCTGGATAAACAGAATACACCCTATGAATGTTTGATAAGAATTGTGAGTTTTTTTATTCCTGAAGATTCTTCTCTAGTTCTTATCAAGTTGAAAAGAGGGTAGAACAATATACAGATATATTTTGTGGGGGAGGAGGATGGCAAAAGTTCATAACAAATAAACACCCACTACAAAGTATAATTTTAAGCTTGGTGAGAATAAGAGAGCCCCAGTATCTCAAAAAACAAGGATAAGGCAGAAAGTTCATAACAAATAAACACCCACTACAAAGTATAATTTTAAGCTTGGTGAGAATAAGAGAGCCCCAGTATCTCAAAAAACAAGGATAAGGCAGTGGGAACTTTGAGATCTAGCTGTTCTCCATTTCTGAGACTAAATCATTCTCTCAGTCTGTTTATTCATTTGTTTAACAAACATACCCTAAGGCACTGTGGGGGCATGGTGGGAGGGAAGGAAGCATACATCCCAGACTTAAGAAACTGACAGGCTAAGGGATGTGAACAAACTTTCAGAATCCAATGGCACAATGAAGCTTGGAAGTTAGCTGTTATAACTGAAGGAGAAAATGTGAAAGCTTTTATTTGCAGTAAAGGTACCCAAACATAAAGAGGAGCAAAGTCTTAGCAAGGAAGGTAAATAATTTTCTGCTCAAGATAAGATTAATCATGGAATAGAGAACCAGGGCAGATACTCTCCTTGGCTTAGTTGTTTCCTTCCTAGCATCTTGCCTGGCACGTTGTTATCACACCTTCCCTATCTAACTCTTCATCCTTTGGGTCTCAGCTGCTTCTGGAAACCTTCCCCGATCCTCCCAAGTCAGGTGCCCTGCTGGAGGCTCCCATTAGGAGTTCTGGGGTCTTATCACCTTGGGATAGAATCCCAGCTTTGTCTGTTACCAGCAGAGTGGCCCAGGAGCAAGTTACTTACCCCCTCCGGGCCTCAAGTTCCTCGTTTGTGAAATGGGAATGAGAGGACTGATGTGCAGATAAATGAGTTAATATGGTCAAAGCACTCAGCAGAGGGTGTGCATAACAACATACCATCCATGACTGAATGTTTGAGGGCTCTGGTGAAATGAATAAATGATGTGGTCAGACAGGCTAATCAATCACAAAGGGGGCTGGGATGCAGATGGATTGCCCCACTGTATGGAGAAGCCAGTTGCTGCAGGGATTCCCAGAGGCACTGGGAGTGACACCAGTGTATAGTGGTGGGAGAGCAAACCATCAACCAGAAACCAAAGGGCCCTCAGAAAGATCTGGGGAAGGCACACTGCTCCTGGACCCACAGGGAACCTCGAAGAGAAGTCTGGTCCTGGGGGTGGAGTTTGTGGAGATAGAACAGTAACCTCATGGGCTTGAGTTTAGCAGGACATCCCCAAATCTGGGCTCCTAGAGTGAAACGGGAAGAACCAAGAGAGGAGAATTAAGGCTTTAAACCTGGAGCAAACTGACAGACAACATGAAGCCGAACAGTAAACTTACTTTGTAGAGTCTGGATACGGCTAACAACCCACACAGAGAATAGCAACGACTACTTCCACCTCCCCACATCCCTCCCTCCTGCCCACTCTCCTAACCCCTGCCAAGAGCCCCTTGACCACAGCTCAGCCTCACCCTTCCTAAACCCCTCCCCACCCCCATGGCAGCCACTCAGAGATGCCTTCCAGCCTCAGGAGGCCCAGGCTGCTCAGGAAGCCCACCCCCTTGTCCGCGCAGACCTGCCCTTGGGCCAAGCAGGCCATCTGCTGAGGCAGGAGGGAGCTGGAGGCCTGGCCTCCTGCTGGGGCAGAGGGAACCATGTTCAAACCAGGGAACTCATTTTCCCATAGACACTGCTCTAGGTGGCAGGGAAGCTCATAACAAATAAACACCCACTACAAAGTATAATTTTAAGCTTGGTGAGAATAAGAGAGCCCCAGTATCTCAAAAAACAAGGATAAGGCAGGGGGATCATAACAAATAAACACCCACTACAAAGTATAATTTTAAGCTTGGTGAGAATAAGAGAGCCCCAGTATCTCAAAAAACAAGGATAAGGCAGGGGGAACTTTGAGATCTAGCTGTTCTCCTTTTCGGAGACTAAATCATTCTCTCAGTCTGTTTATTCATTGCCGCTAGAGCTGTACTTTTCTGATGCGTTCTTTATATTTTACCCTTAATCTATTAGGCATCTGTGGGCTAGCCTGGAAACTCTTTCTGTGGGGGACCCAGGAGGAGGGAAGGGGAGAACACATTCTGAATTCCAGAAGCTGATTGACAAAGGCAGTTCCGAAGCACTTGCTGGGGAATCAGCTCACTGCAGAGAATTTCCAAGGAGTTTGTGGCTATACAGGGCTGTGCAGCAGTGGGAAGGGGGCGGGGCTGAGAGATCCGGGACTTTGTCTGGGGGTAAGATGCGCGCCCCACCACTTTTTTTAAATTTTGGTATCATTAATCTACAATTACATGAAGAACATTATGTTTACTAGGCTCCCCCCTTCACTAAGTCCCCCCCACATACCTCTTCACAGTCACTGTCCATCAGTGTAGTAAGATGCTGTAAAATCACTACCTGTCTTCTCTGTGTTGCACAGCCCTTCCTGTGCCCCCCACACACACTATACGTGCTAATCGTAATGCCCCCTTTCTTTTTCCCCGCCCTTATCCCTCCCTTCCCACCCATCCTCCCCAGTCCCTTTCCCTTTGGTAACTATTAGTCCATACCACCACTTTTATGTTAGATATTACAGCTAAATATTTTTGAAACAAAGTAGTGGTAGACCCTACTGGTTGGGGCTACCTAGTGCTCATTCCCTCTGGAACAGACTGATCAAGCTAAGCTGCTGGCCACAGTGGCCTCTGGGTCTCAGAACTCCACTTCCCTCTATGTGGTTCCTTCACACCCATCTTAGGGCCCAGGAACTGCTTACATTCTGTTTTTGTTTTGCGTTTCACTCATTGCTTGCCAGGTAGTTAAGCCAATATGGCATTCTCCCATTTATCACCACCCTTCAAATTAATTTTCCTTTTGCTTATGGGTTTCTGTCCCACCCAGTTTTCTGAGCTATTTCTCTCTTTACCCCAATACAAATGCCACATTTTAGTTTAACTGGTCTTGATGTTTCTCCCCCAAAGGGCAGGCTTCAAGTCCTGATTTAGGTGGGGTTACAGCCTGATGGAACTTTAGGAGTCTGGATCGCATCCCCTGTCCCTCTAATCTTTCCTCCAGGGTACAATTTTAGCAAAGGTTTAAATAAAGAACCCCTGGAGGAAACATACTGACTGAAATTCAGAAGAGAAAAAATATTGGTATTAGATTTTTTTCTAAGAGCAGTTTTTGGTAGAGAAAGATGAGAACATGAGGCTGCTGAATGGCTGAAGGAAGGAGGAGGAAAAGGAGGTCTCTTGGAAAGAGAGAAGGGACCCAGAAATGAAGGCTGTGCCCCAAATCAGACCTGCTTGTTGCTTCTGATACTAGTTACAGTTGCTATCTGCATTGATTGCTTCCTATGTGTCAGTTACTTTAACTGTCTGTAACAACTGGGCATTTTTACCCCCCTTTTACAGAAGGGAAAGCTGAGATGAAAGTTAAATCACTTGCCAAGATTATAGAGATAGGAAAGGCAGGATTTAAATCCAGATCTGACTCCCAAGGCCAAGGCTGTAGGCACTAACACAATTCCCCAGAATAGCATATTTCATAATCTGGCATTTATACTATAGTTTTGCCAAAAAAAAAAAAAAAAAACCACTGCAAAAAATAGCTTTTCTCTCATTGCTTCATCCTTCCTCCAGCCTAGATCATTAATAGTAATAATAACAACTAACATAAGCATAGCACTTTAACCCCTGCGAGGCACTTTCACACCCATCTGTTCTGAACCTACCAGCTTTCAAGTCCAGCCAGACCCCACATTTTCTCCAGGCCCCTCCGTATCCACTGCAGCCACAGTTCTTCTTCCCTTCACTCCTGAGCATCCCTGTCCTTAGAGTCAGAGGCACCCGATTTGGTCTTCATTCTACCTGTTACTCTGTTTTCTAACTGGCTGTGTGTAGGCATGCTGATGGTGAGCTCTGTTGAAGGCCGGTGGCATTCAGCAGCTCATGAAGATTTATAGCTCTCTGTACTTCTTAGGGTGAGCCCCACAGCCAACTCACAGCAGTTGATTGATTGCCCTTATTTCTTTCTTCAGGAAGCCAGTGTTAGAGCCCTTCTAGGAAGCTCAGGACTAGGGACATTGCTGCTATGCTGGAGTATCAGGAATCTGAGGTTGTTTAAAGTTCTCCGCATGCGCTCATAGCTGCTTCCAGAGAGAAACTGACCCAGACTTTGCACAGAATGCCCTAGAAACACGGCCTTTTCCTAGTGCCTCACCAGTCCCTCCTTGGTATGAACCACATTCTTGGCAGGGTCCCAGAACCAACTGAGTTTCTGAGATCGAGTCTCAGGCACTCTTTGTTCTAGTTCAGGTTTGGCTGAGGCATACCAGGCCCTGGTACCACGCCCATGGCCTGATGCTGGCCCAGAATACCTTTGGGGGCCCCCTTCCCACTATCCCCAGAGGGAGAGGGGTGAATGTCACCCCCCAAAAAGCAACATATACCAGCTCTTACTTATAGACAGCAGAAAACAGTTTGACATATGAAGTAGGATTCTGGCAAACTATAAATAAATCTATAGCTTTTGTGAAAGGCAGTTGACTTAATTTGTGTAATTATGCATCTTTCCTTCCCTGGCTCTTTTCATGTTTTTATTTAGAAACCATCTTGTGTGGGGCTTTCAATTCAGTGCACCAAGTACTTAATGGAATTGTAATGTGTTAGAAACTCTTGGGTTTGCAAAGATGCTCTCAAGTTCCTGTCAAGCCTAGTGGGGTCATAAAATGGGAAACCAACTACAGGAAGTAGGAAGAAGGATGAAGCGAGGTCTCTAGAAGATGTGCAAGCAGGGGATGGGAGGCAGCTGAAGGAAGAGAACCATCAGACAGGGCGGGCTGTTTGTAAGAGGAAAAAAAAATCAATGAAATAATGACCATCACCTGACCGTGAGGAATGATGGGAGATGGGTGGTTGGTTTCTACTGACAGGAAACCACATGGTTTTGCCTGGCACTATTAATTGGTCAGACCCTCTTGCACTGTGAGGGAGAAGTTGCTTAAACTCTAGGAACGATAGGTGAAAGTGATTTACAGAGGCCAGGCTTGGGGCAGAGAAGCCCTCGCTGGGGTGACGGAAGCTATCTTCAGTGGCAGGAGAGTTAAAGCCACTCTCAGGAGAAGGCAGAGTAACTGATCACATAGCAAGAGTGGCTCCTGGTTTGGCTGCATTTGCATCCTGCCCCAAGGCAGGAGAATGGGGAATTCTCTTGAAAGATAAAACTCAACAATGATGTTAACTGATCACCCTAGTTATGTTTCTTGAGTCCATCTAGACTGTACAACCTCAGCCTCTCCCCACTGTGTGTGTGTGGAACGCTCTGTTTTGTCCCCCACTTTATATATGAAGACCAATTCAGAGAGGTTAAGTAGCTTGCCTCATGACTGTCTCCTCTGGGCCCAAACAACCGCAGCTGTGCTGCCAGTAAGTCAGGGTCTGATATGCAGAGCTCCATTTTACCATGCTTTGCCAAGGTGATCAGTTCAGTAGGACCTACACGTTGATAAAACTTCTGGCAATGGACTTCCCATCCTCAGTTGTTCCAAGTAAAACAGGTTCCAAGTGGCAGGATTCTAAACAGAGAGCATGCCCTGTTACCATAAGTAGCCTCTTCCACCACTTCTTCCCCATCTGTTTCCTGTATGCTGAGTATTATTGGGAAACAATGATGTCAACTCTTCCATATAAATCTACACCTCCCTGCTTGCCCCACCCCTACAATGCATATTTTTGTTCCTCTTTCTGGCTTTTGTCTTGCTGTTCTGTTCTTTAAGGACTCACGCTTTTGGCGTCAATTGTTGGCTTTCTTTTTAATAAGCTTTGGCTATTTTAGCAGCACTGTGGCCTTCAAAGTGCACATGCTTTTTTGGGTCCATATTTGGAAAATCCTTTGTTTGGCTAATTGCTAGAACATGGGCCTGGCATTACGGGAGAGGAGCCATTTTGCTTTCTGGAAAAGCAAAGCTAGAGGCATGGCTCTGATTCAGGTTCAGAGCTGAGGACACACACCCTGCTTGGCCGCCCTCAGAGGCTGCATGAAAGCTGTCTGGACCCCAGGCACAAAGCCCATATGAAGGTCAGGAAAATATACCCATCGAGTAATCTGTTGCCACTCATCCCAAGCCTGGCTTTCAAATGGAATATGCTTTCCTCAGTTGCCCTTTCTTGACTGTTCCTCATGACAATTTGATTTCAGGAGGGAAAGGGGACTGTGGGGGAGGGGAGATAGGAAGTATGAGTTTTGAATTCTGGGTCCAAGAATTCTGGACCTCTCTTTTGAAGACTTGGGCACTGATTCTCAAACTTTATTGGGTGTAAGAACCATTGAAAACATAGTTTTTACTTTTAAAATTTAATTTCAAAATTAAAAAATATTAGTTGAATTTAGTACACTATAAAAAGTATAAGAAATACTCTTTAAATTCCATTTCGGACTCCTTGAAACAAAACAGCTATCTGATGAAAGTTCCCAATGGGCATTTGCATAGGTCCTGTAGTATTTGGGTCTGTGAGAACATGAAGTTCCCCTGGATGGGTTCTGGTTTACAGGGCTGCGAGCTGTGAAGTGCTGCAGCATACCAGTGCTCTGAGGCCAGTTCCCCAGAGATTCTCTTTTGTAGATCGGAGGTGGGATTCAGAAATCCACACTTTTTTAAAGATGAGCTCTAGGTGATTCTGAAACTTTCAACCTACTGATCTCACTTTGAGAAGCATTGACTTGGCCTGTAGGAAAAAGCAGCTAAGTGAAATCACATGACTTTTATTTTCTTTGTTATACTTTATATATTGCCCAAATTTTCAACAATGAACATGGATTTTTACTATTTAAATTGGACAACATTCTTTTAGAATTATTATGAGAATATGGTGTCTTTGGTAATGATTCACTGAAATTTTCATAAATCCCCTCCATTTCAATTCTTACTAAAAAATCTTCAGAGAATCTTTGTTTTCCTGCTTTCATAGATGCCCTTTGGTGAAATCAACTAACCTGTCCTGACAAACAGTGCAGCAAGGTGTTTAGCATGTGGCCTTTTTGCTGATAGTCAGCCTTGGTTCAACTCCCAGCCTTACCACATGTTAGCTTTGTGATCATGGACAAGCTACCAAGCCTTTCAGTTCCCCAGTTTCCTCATCTATAAAGTGGAGATTATGATAATAATAGTACCTATCACAGAGGGTCACTGTGAGTGAGATTAAATGAACTAGTGTACTGCCTGGAATTTAATAAACCTTCTTTAAATGTTTTTACTATGGTTTTTATTTACTTGGTGATTGGAAATCTTATCCTGTCTCAGTCTCATTACTCAGAATGCGGTCCCTGAGTAATGCCACAGATGTGGAAGTGGAGAGAGCTGAGAACAAATATTCCAAGGCTCCCATATATCCCTAGGGGCTTCTTCTTCTTTTTTTTTTTTTAATTCTCTTACATACACACAATTATTTCATTTCTTTGGTTGAATGCATAAAAATGCTAGTTTTCACATCCTTATCTCTTGATGAATATTTCTGGGGTGGGACTGTTGCAATCTTTCTAAATTTTACATTTCTTTAGTAATCAGGAAAAGAAAAGGATGTAAAAACAAAACCAGAAAGAAAAAAATGAGGGTTATGGAAAAAGGCTATAATCATGGTGACAGCCATCCAACCATGGAGTTTCCATCTGTATTTCAGGAAAGTTATAAATCTAGAAAATGAGCCTGTTTCCATCACTGATGGAACAATATAGGACGTGGGTTTTGGCTGGCCTGTATAATATTTCATATATGCCTAATTCTTTGCTCCACAATTGCATTTTGACAGTTGACTGAATGAGGTAGCTCTTGCTCAATCATAGACTTTGTGAACAGACTCTTAGGCTGTGGAGCATATGGATGAAGGGATCCACACTGCAGTCTTCCCCAGTTGAATCAAATATGGAGTCTGAGTTCTCAGTACTCCATTTGAATATGAAAGCATGTACATGGAAGGATATTCAGGAAGGTGATCAGGATAGCAAAACTTAATTACTTCTCCCTTTTTCCTAAATCATCCCCTCCCTTGAGTAGAAAGAAAATGAGTTCTTTGAAGACTGGGACCATTCTCTGTTCAGCTATGTGTTAGGTGTCTGCCAAGTTGGTACTTTTCTGGAGGCTGTCAGGGAGAGTCCATCACTTTGCCTTTTCCAGCTCTGAGAGCCTGTCCTCATTCTTTGGCTCATGGCCCTTCATCTCATTGCCTTTGCTACCTCTGCTCCATCCTCACATGGCCTTCTTTATGATCTGCTTCTCTGTGATAAAGACCCTGTGATTACATCCAATAATCCAAGATAATATCCTCATCTCAAAATCCTTAGCTTGAACATATCTGCAACAATTCCTTAAGCCATATAAGGAAACATTACAGATTCCAGGAATAAGGACGTGGACCTCTTTAGGGCGCCATTACTCAACCTACCACAATCTTTCCCCATGAAATAACATGAATAAAGGGAATTGGGTGGTGGTTATGGGAAGGGACAAAGAGATGAACGTTTCCCAAGCACTTACCATACATCAGGCGCTGGGTCAGCTGGGACACAGGATGAATAGGCATTGCCTGTCCCTGTGAGGGCTCCATCCCATACAGGAGATGGACACACCCCAACTGATTTGCACACAGACCACAGTAGGAAGTGGATGACATTAATTCTGACTCAGAGGAGCTGGATCTTCTACAATGAGTGGAAGGGAAGATCTCCCAGAGGGAACAACACAACTAGGTGTTGAGGTGGACCACAGTATGGCAAGATCCACTTTCTCATAAGAAGAACAAAGAGAACAAGGGTGAAGTGTGAGCCCCCTACCTGCCTGGACAAGATTTATAGGAACAAATAGCATATTAAATGACCATTTTAAATCTTCCAGGGAAAAAATATGGATGAAGATAAACACACCAGCTTAAATTCCAGATTAATAAAGGAAGACTCTCAAGCCACATTTAAAACTACTATGTCTTTTTTGCTGTTTTCGTTGTTGCTGTTGAGAAAAAGTTGGACCCCAGTCTAAGAGTAAACTTCCTTCAGTGGAGGAAAAATGAGATGCCCCAAGCAGCTATAATCCAGAGTTTCAGAGTTTATTCCATCTATTTACAATCTTAGGAAATTTCATTTCTCTGTGCCTGATGAAAGATAACCAGAGTGATGTTTAACATTTCAAATCCAAGTTCTGTTTGAGGTGAAATATTTTGTGTGTTCCTTCCCACCTGCCTCCTTGTCACATTTCTACTCCATCCTGTC